TTTATAACCTGCCTTCTAAAAATTACTGAAGGGAGCTCAGTCGACCCAGCTCCCACTTCTCTTTCCTCGCCACGTGGAGGGGGACTGCCAGCTCCCTCCTCTAGCCTCCTATTGGACTTTATTTTTGATGACTACTGTGCCACCTCTCAGGATCCATCTAGTGTTACTGTGGTCCTTTCTCACCAGCTGTTTTCCCCTTGATGGCCCCCTGACCTGGCTCTCCTCAGGAGTGCAGACCACCTCCGACTTCTCTGCCTGCTCCTAAGAACCTAGCGGTGTCCACCACTTAGTTAAGTGCTCAGTAAAGTGTCCTCTGAGGACTGGGACCAAGGTGACTGCCACTCCCTCTCCCAGTTCTGTTAGAAGATGGGTTCATCCGACCTTTTCATTGTGGCTAGAGGTGACAGAGGTGTGATCAGGAATAACCTCCAGGCATGGGGCTCTAGTTGACCACCCCACAGCCCGAAGAAAACCCCAGCAGGGTCATGGCACATGGACTGTGTCCAGGAAGCAAAGCTGGCACGCGTGTTCGGGTGCCCAGCACTCTACGGACACCATCCCTGAGGGGAAGGATCCAGGGGTCTCCCTGCTCCCAAGGCCCAGCTGTCTTACTCTGCTCCTGGGTGCTCTTCCCCTCACCCTGCTCTCCAAAATAGCCCAAGTTTATTTTATCCCCCTCCTCCCCTCCACACCCCAGCCCAAATGGTGACAAACAGAAACACCTCATCATCCCAGGCAAGATGTTCAGAGACAAATGTTGGTCTGTTCAGAATGAGAAAGAAAAACACAAAACAAAACCCAAACCAGGAGGAAACGGAGGCTCCCGGAGGCAGGGTCTGTGAAGAGGCGGCAACTTTTGGCCTGGCCCAAGCTCTGCAGCTCCTCAGGAGGCAGAGGGGCTGGCACCATCTTCCTGAGCCAGGTCCTAGCCCAGAGGGCACAGGATCAGTGAGTGTTGGCCTTCACTCGAAGCCTATTGTGACCACTGCAAGTCCCCAGGCAATGCTAGACCAAAGAAGCCAGGGACCTGCAGAGGGTCCCTACATCTCTTTGCTGGAAGACCTGGGTTTCACTGCTTTGCCTGGACCAGGAGAAACTCAATGTTGACTCCTAAACAAGACTCACTTCTTTTTCCTTATGGAAGTCCCCCAGTAAGAAACAAGAGTCAGGGTAAAACTCAAGCAATTTCTAGGCGTAGAAATTAAGGACAGGAGGAATCGGGGGATGAAGCTCTTCCATGAGGACTACTCCTAAATCTTCCAGAAGCCAGAGATGTTCTCTGGGCAAGAGCCATGGGAGACCGTGGTAGGAGCATAGAATTGGACTCATGAAACCAGGATTGGGATCCTAATTCTACCATCAGTTGTGCCACCTTGGGCAAGCCGCTCTGTGCCTCAGTTTCCTTATCTGTACATTGAGTTTAATAATCCCTGCCTCCCCTGAAACTGAGGAACTAGGATAAGAAAGCCTAGGCCATGCACCTGCCACTCACTGGAGCCTAAAAAGAAGAATCAGCTCTGGCTGCCCTCCCAGAGCAGCAGGATCCTGTGGACCACCTCCTCCATTCAGGAGGGAAAAAAAATCTATCCAGAAACTGATTTAGTCAAAGGAGAAGGAAGATGCTCCTCAATAGGGCTGACAGCTGAGCTAAAACCAGCCCAGTTCCTGAGACTTCAGGAAACAGGAGGGTGTCCCAGGCTTCCATTCTTTAGGCATCTGGACTTCTCTTTTCAGAAAAAGAGAAAGGAGTGATTCTGTAGCTCTGCGAAGCCACCTTAGGAAGCCCTGACTCTGACCAGGGCAGCAGGTAGTGGGGCGGGTGAGAACAAGACCAGCCTGCCCCTAACTCAGGACACAGAAACAGAGCCACAGAGGCAGCTGCCTACGGTCCAGCTCCATCAGGGGTGAGCATCCCCGGCCAGGAGCCTGCCTGTAAGGGAGCAGCTCTGTGGACCAGGCCGGTAGCTAGGCAACAGGCTCTCCTAATCAGCTCAGTTCACTTTCCATTTGTGTCTGTTTTGCTTTTGTCATAACACACTACTCAAACGACCGGAATGTCTTGTGTGAGGGAACACCCTGGGTAGAGCACCAGTCCTCTACCCTCATGTGTCCTTCTAGGTAACATTCCAAGCCCACCACCCAAGGCGCTGCAGATCCCTCTCAGGGAGGCAGTGGCCATGAGTGAGGCAAGACATGCACACATACCCAGGAGCACAGGGCTAGGAATGGGGAGTGTGACTTCTTTAGGGTCAACGGAAGGGGACAGTGTAGCCCCAGAATCTCCCCTGCATGACACTGTACCCTCAGGCCTAGAGGAGTGACAGAGCGAGTGTCCCTTCTGATCTCCCCATCTGCTCCTGGGTTTTCTGATGACATCCACAAGAGGTACAAAACCTCAAAACACCCTGCAGGTCAGAGCAAAAAACTAGGCACCTCTCCATGCTGCAAATAGCCTGGAGCAGTGGGAAGAGACCGTTGTGACCACGGGAGCAAGGGCTTGGAAGTCAGGGCGCTCTGGCTGTGATTCAAAGCTTGGCCACTATCTAGCTGCGTGGTCTCAGGCCAGTTGAATACCTGCTCACAGCCTCACACTGTTAAATGGGAATAATAGCCTTGTGGTAAATTCATTGGAAGGATTAGAGATTAATGTAAAGTATGTATAGCAAAATGTCTGCACAGGGGTACCCAGTGAATAGCAGTTATTAGTTGTTAAAATTCGGTATTTCCACCTGTGTATCCAGGAGCAGCTTGAGGCTTGCCTTTGCCTGCATTCCTTGGCAACAGGCAAGTCTTCTTTTGGCACACGCGACAGTCAGAGCTCCATACAGCTCCTCACATCAGTACTAACAACCCGAAGGCTGGAAACTAAGGGTGGTTTGCTGGTTCTATTACTTAAGTGTCTTTGGCAAGACACATGTTTCTGAATCCTGGTTTCTTCACTGATGAAATGGAAGAATTAATCCTGCCCTACCCCAAACTTCAGACCTCAGCAGGAATGCCCAAGCTGAAATGATTCATGCCCAAAGGGCAAAGCATCTTGGGTCCCTGGAGGATCCCCCAAGGATCACACTAGGCTCTAAGCTTAATTATAGTGGCTTCTGGCTGGGTCATTCTGCAGTGGGTTGAGGAGAAAATAAGCTCATTGATGGTGCATCCCCTTGCAATCCTGGCAAGAAGAACCCGGTGAAAAGTCCTCAGAGACACCAGAATGCTCAGAAATAGGACCTATCTCCCTGTTTCTCTTAACTACCTTTTGTCATTCCTCCTCAATTGTTTGTCCCTTCCCCATCTCTATCAGGCTAAATCTGCCTCATTCCTGTCCAGCAACTTTGAAAGAGTCTGAATGATCTGGGCTTGTCACTCTCCCCTGGTGCAGACAGCCAAGAGCCAACACTAGCAGGGTCAGTGAACTGCATGTGATGCCCTTGGAACTCACAGCAGACCCAAGCCAGGGGCATTACTGTGCCCACATCTTCCGAGCTGGCTTCAGGGCTTCAGGACAAGACACCAAGGCAGCTGTGGTGGGAAGAGAGCTGAAAAAGATTCCTGACTTCTAGTGGCTGCCTGCAGCCCCAGTCCAGCATGCCATAGCCCCTGAGACCTCTGCTCCTCCCTTCTATTCCAGACAGGGGACGCATCTGCCTTGGTCTGGCATTTATGCCAATTTAGCCCCTCCCTGCAGCCCCATTCCCCAACCCTCTGTCCTCCCCTGGGTGGGGAAGTGGAACTTTTCCTTCCATGATTAGGATGAGATGCAGTCCAGGCAATGCTTGGGGGGGGGGGGAGGCAGGGCCCTGAGACTCATTAGCATAACAACTTGGTATGCCAGAGACGTCAACCAGCTTTCACAGCAAGCAGTCCCCAGACCCATCATATCACTTTGCTCTTTCCTGTCTCCCAAACAGACCCCAGCCAGGCTTTAGACTGTGGCCTTGAGATAAGACATTGGCTGGACAATTTTCTTTTTTAATGATTCTAAAGCCATCCTTTGGGGTTTTAGCTGCCCAAGCATAACAGGGTGAGTGTCTCCCTGATCATCCTCTCCCACCTATAAGGGTTAAGGAAAACCAGATTAATTTAGGGAAAGTGGTGAAGAGGGACTAGACCTTGCCTAAATAAACCTGTACTCCCCTCCCCCTCACACTCCCATTTGGAACAGTAACCTGAACCAGGGCTTTCTGGGAAGCCACTTTATGCAGCAGCAATAAGAAAAGTAGTGGCAACAAATCTGGCATCATCACCAGGAAGCCTGTGGCTGGCCTTTGGCGGTGGGAGCCTGAGGAGCCTAGAATAGCAAGCCCTTCCGGTCTAACTCCCCTTATCCCAGCTGAGGCCAGGCCAGCTCAGGTATATAGAAAGTCTTGGGGCACAGCCTGTTCCCAAAGAACCAAGGCCCCTCCTCACCTGAACTGGAGGCCTGAGTTCTGGTCTCAGCTCTGCCTCTCCTAAGCTCAGCACGCCGGAGGCTCTGTCCCTCTCTCTAAAATGCATAGCTGCCAACTCACAGAGATATTGGCAGGATTTAAGTGGGGTGACATGGAAAGGAAGCATCTAACAAAAACGAAAAAAAAAAAAAGAAAAGAAAATCCCAGTTTTCTTCTCTTAGTCCTGCCTCACCCCAGAAGAAGGCAATTCTAGTTCTCCAGGGCTATGGCCCTGTGGAGGAGTGGAGGGCAGCTGAAGATGGGGTGGCCTGTGCAAACCAAAGAAGGGATGAAGAGTTGTGGGCACCCCACTCCCTGGGGGGATGCAGCAAAGCAAGGCAGCTGGGATTGGGTCCAAGTAGTAAGTCAAGTGTGTGCAATCTCCTGATGGAGCGTGCAGGAGAGAGGGTGGGAGTGTGTAATTCCCCAGAGGGCCCTGGAGGGAGTTGGGAGGGAGGTGAGAACAGACTGGGTGGTAAGCTAGTCCTGTTGGGCTCTGCTCTGCCCCTACCCACCACCACCACCACGCGCCCCTTGCAGACACGAGAAGGGGAGACCTGGACTCCTGACACTTACCCTGGCCGCCCGGGAGGAGTAGGGATCCTCAAAGAGTGCCCACATGCGTGGTTGCCAGCCGCGGCAGCCCCCGGAACCGGCGCCAGGACCTCCGCCTCCCTCGTGCGGCCCCAGGCGCTGCAGGGCTAGCTCCCGCTCATCATCGCCGACCTCGTCGCTGGGCCCCGCTCCACCGCCACCCCCGTCTGGGCTTTCGAAGATGTCGAGCGCCTCCTCAGCGTCGCGATGCTGGCGGTAGGTCATCCAGCAGCAGGGCTCCACGTCGGTCTCGTCGATGCCCCAAAAGGTGAGCTCCTCCTCAAAGAGCGGCCCGCACACGTCGGC